GGGATAAATCCCACTTGTTCATGGTATATCATCCTTTTTATACATTGCTGGATACAGTTTGCTGGTATTTTATTGAGGATTTTCCATCTATATTCTTTTTTTTTTTTTTAATTAAAAAAAATTTTCAAGTAATCTCTGTATCCAACATGGGACTCAAACTCACAACCCTGAAATCAAGAATTGTGTGCTCTACTGACTGAGCCAGCCAGATGCCCCTCCATCTATATTCATAAGAGGTGTTGTAGTGATGTGTGGTTTTCTCGTGATCTTTGGTTTTGGTGTCAAGATAAAATATTGGCTTCGTACAATAATGTGGGTATATATAACAAGATGGGTAGTATGCTCAATACTTCTTTTGAGGAGTTTGTGTGATTGGTTTTAATTTTTCTTTAAATGTTTGGTAGATTTCACCAGTGAAGCCATCTCATCCTGAGCTTTTCTTCATAAGAACTTGTTTGATTACTTATTCAATCTTTTCATCTGTTCTAAATCTGTTCAGGTTTTCTATTTCTTCTTAGTCATTTTGGTAGTTTGTATCTTTATAGGAATTTGTCCATTTCTTCTGGATTATCTAATTTGTTGGTGTATAATTGTTTATAGTATTCCCTCATAACCTTTTATTTCTGTCAATTATGGTCAATTGTGATGACCCCTCTTGCATGCCTGATTTTAGAAATCTGAGTCCTTCATCCTTTTTTTCTTGGCCAGTCTAGCTAAAGTTTTGTCAATTTTATTGATCTTTTTGGAAGTACCAATTTTTGGCTTCGTTGATTTTCTCTATTGTTTTTCTGTTTTCTATTTCATTTACAGGCACACCTCAGAGATACTGCAGGTTCAGTTTCAGTCCACTGTAATAAAGCAAATCTTAACAATAAAGCAAGTCAGGAGAATTTTTCAATTTCCTAGTGCATATAAAAGTTATGTTTGCATTATACTGTAGTCTGTTAAGTGTGCAGTAGCATATCTAAAAAACAACGTATATACTTTAATTTTAAACTACTCTATTATTAAAAATATGGTAGTCATCATCTGAACTTTCAGCTCGCTGTAATCTTGCTGGTGGAAGGTCTTGCCTCCACCTTGATGGCTGCTGACTGATCAGGGTGATGGTTGGTGAACACTGGGGCAGCTGCAGCAATTCCTTAACATAAGACAACAATGAAATTTGCTAGATTGATTGGCTGTTCCTTTCATGAACAATTTCTCTGTAGCATGCGATGCTGTTTGACAGCATTTTGCCCCCAGTAACTTCTTTCGGAATTGGAGTCAGTCCTCTCAAACCCTGCTGCTGCTTTATCAACTAAATGTATATTCTATTTTAAATCCTTTGTTGTCATTTCAATAATCTTCACAGCATCTTCACCAGTAGATTCATCTCAAGACACCACTTTCTGGGGCACCTGGGTGGCTCAGTGGGTTAAAGCCTCTGCCTTCGGCTCAGGTCATGGTCTCAGGGTCCTGGGATCGAGCCCCGCATCGGGTTCTCTCTGCTCAGCAGGGAGCCTGCTTCCCCCTCTCTCTCTGCCTGCCTCTCTACTTGTGATCTCTCACTGTCAAATAAATAAAATCTTTAAAAAAAAAAAGACACCACTTTCTTTGCTAATCCATAAGAAGCAACAAAATTTTACCCTGAGATGGCAGCACTTCTGTCACATCTCCAGGCTCCACTTCTCATTCTAGTGCTCTTGCTTCCAACACATCTGCAGTGACTCCCGTCACTGAAGTCTTGAACCCCTCAAAGTCATCCATGCGGGTTGGAGTCAACTTCTTCCAAACTCCTGTTAATGTTGATACTTGACCTCTTCCGATGAATCACACATGTTCTTAATGGCATCTAGAATGGCGAATCCGTTTCAGAAGCTTTTCAAATTATTTTACCTGGATCAATCAGAGGAATCACTATCTGTGGCAGCTACGGCCTTATGAAATGTTTTTCTTAAATAATAAGACTTGAAAGTCTAAATTCCTCCTTGATCCATGGGCTGCAGAATGAATGTTGTGTTAGCAGTCCCAGAACCATGAATCTCACTGTCCATCTCCATCAGAGCTCTCAGGTGACGAGGTGTACTGTCGGTGAGCAGTCATATTTTAAAAAGAATCTTTTTCTGAGCAGTAGGCCTCAACAGTGGGCTTAAAATATTCAGTAAACCATGTTGCAAATAGGTGTGGTGTCATATAGGCTTTGTTGTTCCATTTATAGAGCCCAGGCAGAGTGGATTAAACATAATTCTTGAAGGCCCGAGGATTTTCAGAATGGTGAATAAACATTGCCTTCGACTTCAAGTCACCAGCTACATTAGCCCCTAACAAGAAAGTCAGCCTGTCTTTGGAAGCTTTGAAGCCAGGCAGTGACTTCTCCTCTCTAGCCGTGGAAGTCCTAGATGGCATCTTCTTCCAATAGAAGACTGTTTCATGGGCATTGAAAATCTGTTGTTCAGTGGAGCCACCTTCATTCATTATTTTGGCCAGATTTTCTGGATCCCTTGCTGCAGCTTCTACTCAGCACTTGCTGCTTCACCTTAAACTTTAATATTATGGAGGTTCCTTAAACCTCATGAACCAACCTTCACTAGTTTCAAACCTTTCTTCCGCAGCTTCTTCATCTCTCTCAGCCTTCACAGAACTGAAGAGAGTTAGGACTTTGCTCTGGATTAGGCTTTGGCCTAAGAGAATATGGTGGCTGGTTTGATCTTCTAACCAGACCACTTAGACTTTCTCCATATCAGCAATAAGGCTGTTCCATTTTCCTATCATTTGGGTTTATTGGGATAACACTTTTAATTTCCTTCAAAATTTTTTTCTTTGCATTAACAACTTGGCTAACTTTTGGGCACAAGAAGATTAGTCTTCAGCCTCTCTTGGCTTTCAACATGCCTTCCTCACTAAGCTTAATCATTTCTAGCTTTTGATTTAATATGAGAGGGGCACCTGGCTGCCTCAGTCAGAAGAGCATGAGACTCTTGATCTCAGGGTTGTGACTTTGATCCCCACATTGGGTGTAGAGATTACTAAAAATAAATAAATAAATTTAAAAAATAGAAAGCGAGAGACCTTTGACTCCCTTTAACTTGAACATTTAGAGGCCATTATAGGTTTAATAATTGGTCTAAGTTCAATATTGTTGTGTCTCAGGAAATAGGGAGGCTCAAGGAGAGGGAGAGAGATGAAGGAATGACTGGTCAGTAGAGCAGTCAGAACAGATACAATATCAATTAAGTTGGCTGTCCTATGTGGGCATAGTTTGTGGCACCCCAAAACAATTACAATACTAATATTAAAGATCACTGATCATAGATCACCATAACAAAATAATAATGGAAAAGTTTGAAATACTGTGAGAATTACCAAAATGTGACAGAGACACAAAGTGAGCAAATATTATTCGAAAAATGTCGCTGATAAGCTTACTCAGTGCAGGGTTACCACAAACCTTCAATATGTAAAAATACCTGAGAAGTACTATAAAACATTTATGCCTATAGTTTTCCTCTATTCTTTATTCTTTCCATCCTGTTTTCTTTCAGCTTACTCTTATTTTCCTAGTTTTTGAAAGCAGAGATTATGTTAACGATTTGAGATCTTTTTTAATAGAGGCATTTGTAGCTACAAATTTTCTTCTAAGCACTATTTTGGTTGTGTCTCAAGTGTTTTGACATATTGTGTTTTAATCTTCATTTATCTTAAAGTATTTTCTAATTTCTCTTGTGATTTCTTCTTTGACCCCTTGATTATTTAGGATTTTGTTGTTTGATTTCCTTGTATTTGGGATTTCCCCAAATTTCTTTCTGTTATTAATCTCTAATTTATTCCCTTTGTAGTCAGAAAAGATACTTTGTATTATGTTAATCATGTTAAATCTATTGAGACTTATACTGTGGCGTAGCATAGGATCCCTTGTGGAGAATGTTCCATATGTGATTTAGAAAAATGTATATTCTGCTGTTGTTGGGTAGAGTGTTTTATACATATCTGTTAAATTTAGTTGGTTTGTAGTGCTGTCCAAGTCTTTTATATCCTTTTTTATTTTCTGCCTCATTGTTCTATCCATTATTGAAAGTAGAATATTGAAGTCCCCAACTATTATTGTTAAATTGTTTATTTCTCCCTTCAATTCTGTCTGTTTTTGCTTCATATAGTTTTGGGCTCTGTTGTTAGGTTCATATATGTTTACAATTGTTGTATCTTCTTGTCTGATTCTTTTATCATTATAAAATATCCCTCTTTATCTCTAGTAATATATTTTGTCTTCAAGTCTATTCTGTCTACTATTAGTGTAGCCACTCTAACTCTCTTATGGTTGATGTTTGCATAATACACCTTTTTTTGTTCTTTCGAGCTCTTTGTATCTTCGAAACAAAGTGTATCTCCTGTAGAAAACATACAGTTGGGTCTGCCCTCTCTGCTTTTTGGGGGAGGGGATATATGACTCATAGCCACTTTACTTCTCTCTTCTTCCTTTATTTAGAATTTATTTTTGTAAACGGTCGAGGTGGTTTAGCATTCAGACAGATAACTATGCAAGCACCGTGTTAAAAAAAAAAATAGCCCCTTTCCACTGAATTTTAATACCTCCTTTGTCATATATATTGTTCCCATATATAGTTCACTAAGTTTATGCAATTTCTATTATGTTCTGCTCATGCATCTGTCTTCTTTTGTGTTAATACCTATTGTTTGGTTTTAGCAACTTCACAGTAAATTTTAATGTCTGCTATAGCAAGTCCCTCTTTATTTTTCTTATTTTTTAAAATTATCTTGGATATGCTCAGACATCAGTTGCTTATGTAAAACTTGGAAATCAAAAAGAAAACACCAGTGGTAATCCTTTTAAAATTTCACAATACATGCACATACATACATACATACAAAAACACTGACCACCTAATAACAGGGTATGTGTGAAGTTAGGCAATTCATTTGAAGTGGAACACGTTAAAACAAGACACAGTGGGATGGTTTATGTGTCTTTCTTTCACCTAATAATTGTTTTGTTACCGTAGGGTGAATACTATGGAAAGTAGTGCCATCAGGATATTGAAAGAGAGAATGCTTTCACGAAAAACTGACCTCATTCGTGCTTTCCAACTTCAAGACCGCAGTAAATCAGGTAATAAAATTACATAATGCTTACCATTTCTTAACATACCAGCTTACATAAAAATCAGTTTTTATTTATTTAATTTTTTTTTTGCTCCCTTAGATTTCAGTTTTCTATTTTTACTAACAAGGAAAGATAGAGATAAAAATAAAATATAATCCATTATGTGCTTGAAAAAAGCCATATTCCTCCTTTGCAGTAAGTTTCTTTCAACTTAAAACAACAACAACCCTTCTATTCTGGTATCTCAGACTAGATACTCCATAAGGCCCTCCTGCTAAGTAACAGCTAGCTTCTAGAGGATACAGAATTTTAATGCATCGACCAGCCTCACAGTAAGATAAATATGTAGGAAACACTTTATTTCCTCATGAAAGGTTTTTTGAAACCATATTTGGGGCATGGAGTAGCAAGAAAGCACAAAATAGTAGATTGTCCTGAGGGCAAATGCTAATTTTGATGTAACACTCAATCCTGAGACTAAACCTGGGATAATAGAAAGATGGATAAGCTGAATCGGAGAGTTCTACATTAAGCCTGGGCCCTCAAAGAGGCTATGATAAGCCTATGTTTGTAGTGCCCCCTGACTCTAGGCAAGCAAGTGCAAATCCATGTTCAAGGGATGCATCCCTAATTTTGGCCACTAATATATCCAGAGATTAAGATCAACCACGAGCTCATAACCAAAGATTGTGAAACAACGAGGCAAGCTACCATGAGTAAGAGTCAACAGAAAGAACAAACTACAGATTTAGTTCCCTGAAGACATCAGATATTAGAATTTTCAAATACAAATACAAACAACTAAGAAATGTTTAATGAAATAAAAGATGGAATTGCAGACATGCATTTGAAAACAATTTGAAGAACCAAATAGATATAAAACTATACTTGTTTAAGAAAACCCATAATGGATGGGTTAAACAGAAGATTAGACATTGCTTAAGAAAGAATTAGAAATATTGTTATGGACAGTAAAGTCAAGTCTAACATACATCTACTCAGGGTCCCAGGAGAAAAGACTGTAAGAGAGGATATATTTGACATGATAATGGCTGAGACTTTTCCAGAACTGATAAGCAACTCACATTCACAGGTAGAGAGGTACAGTGTTTCTCAAAACAGGATAAAAAAAAAAAAATACACACCTATACATACTTGTAGAGAAACTACAGGACACCAACAGCAAATAAAAATATCTTGGAGGGCACCTGGGTGGCTCAGTGGGTTAAGCCTCTATCTTTGGCTCAGGTCATGATTTCAGGGTCCTGGGATCAAGTCCCACATCGGGCTCTCTGCTCAGCAGGGAGCCTGCTTCCCCCTCTTTCTCTGCCTGCCTCTCTGCCTACTTGTGATCGCTCTCTCTCTGTCAAATAAATAAATAAATAAAATCTTAAAAAATAATCTTGGAAGCAGAGAGAAATACACATTGCTACAAAGAGAAAACAGTTGTACTGTTATTAGCCTTCTCCGTAGTTGCAATAGAAACCTGTAAACAGGGGTGCCTGGGTGGCTCAGTGGGTTAAGCCTCTGCCTTCGGCTCAGGTCATGATCCCAGGGTCCTGGGATCGAGCCCCACATCGGGCTCTCTGCTCGGTGGGGAGCCTGCTTCCTCCTCTCTCTGTCTGCCTCTCTGCCTACTTGTGATCTCTGTCTGTCAAATAAATAAAATAAATTAAAAAAAAAAAGAAACCTGTAAACAGTGGAATCATATATACAAAATACTGAAACCAAAACTTAGATAAAGATACAACATGAAAACACAAGACCAAAGTTGTAACAGCTCTGTTAATATTAGACAAAGTAGATTTCAAGGAAATATACATTACTCAAAATAAAAAGGGACACTTTGTAATGATAAAATACTCAATTTGCCAATTGAATCCATTCTAAATCTATATGTATTGATTTATAGCCTCAAAAATATATTTAAGAAAATAAACAGAACAAATAGAAGTAGAGAAATCTACCATCACATTGGGAGATTTTAATACCCCTTTGACTAAAAGAATTAACTGACAAAAAGATTAGCAGACTTTCCCTAAAAATAGAGCTCCGCGCCCAACATTGCAGAATATACGTTTTTGTCAAGCACAAATGGAACACTTACAAATATTGATGATAAACTGGAACAGAAGGCAAATCTCAATAAATTTTGTATAAAAAACATACAGAATAAATTTTCTGTCAGTGAATTGACAGAAGGTAGCCAGAAAATTCCCTGGGGCTTAGAAAGAAGAAATATAATTCTAAATAGCCCTTAGATAAAAGGAAAAATAACAGTGGAAACTAGAATTCTGCAACTGAATGAAAATGCAACATATTGAAATTTATAAGATACAAGTTAGAGAAGCACTGAACATACCTATATTTTAATATTTTAAAAGATGAAACTAGGATCAACAAAGTAAAAAAATAAAGATTCTTTGAAGAAACTAGTAAATCTGATAAAACACTGGTAAGGAGACAGAGAAAGAGAAATAATCAATGCCAGAATTGAGAGGAGAGATGTTACTACAGACTTTACAGATATTAAAAAGCTCATAAGATGTATTATAGAAACTCTTATGCACGGGCACGTGGGTGGCTTAGTCATTAAACATCTGCCTTTGGCTCAGGTCATGATCCTGTGGTCCGGGGATCGAGCCCCGTATTGAGCTCTCTGCTCAGCAGAGATCCTGCTCCTCCCTCTCCCATTTGCCCCTCCCCCTGCTTGTGCATGTGCTTCTCTCTCTGTCAAAGGAATAAATAAAATCTTGAAAAAAAGAGAAACTCTTGTGCTAATAATTAAAACTTTAGATTATATGGTCAAATTCCTAAAATACGTTACACATACCCATTGTCTTACCAAAACAGACACAAGAAGAAATAGAAAATCTCAACAATCCTATAACTGTTGAAGAAAATGGATCTGAAATTTTGCAACTTGTCCCAAAGACAGCTTAGTTCAGATAGCCTCATTAACCATTACAATATACATTTAAGAATAAAACCAGTATTACACAAACTCTTCCAGAGAATGGAAATACAAGGGATATTTCCAAGATTATTTTAGGAGGTCAGCATAACCTTGATACCAAAACCTAACAAAGACATTATGGAAAAGGAAAGTTAATAGCTAATCTTGCTCATAAACTTAGATGAAAAAAATCCTAAATGGAATATTAACAAAAGGTTAAATTACAACCAAGTTTGGTTTAGTCTAGAAATGTTAGGAATTGTAGCTTGTTTTAACATTCAGAAATCAGTGTAATTCACTGCTTTAACAAAATTGAAGAAGTTATGATTCTCCCAAAATAAGAAAAACTTGTTGGATGTGTTTTACCTTGATATCATGGCTTCAAAAAAACACTTAGAAAACTAAAAACAGAAGAAAATTTCCTTAATCTCATAAAGGATGTCTAACAAAGCCTATAGAAAAAAGCACACTTGATGGAGTGATGTTGAAACCTTTTCTTCTAAGATGGGGAATGAGAGAAAGATGCTGAATAATTCCCATCCTCCAATGTGTCCATATCCTAATCCCCAGAACCTCTAAATGTTACCTTACTTATATGGCTAAAGGGATTTGCAGATGTGATTAGAGCAATGATCTTGACCTAGGGAGACTACCCTGCATTATCTAGGTGGAATCGATATAATCAGGATGGTCCTACAAAAGGGATGTAGGAGGAGTCGGAGACAGAGGAGAAGGTGATGTGCTGATGGAAACAAATATTGAAACAATACACCCTGAAAACGGAGGAAGGTGCCTCAAGTCAAGGAATATAGGCAGCCTTTAGAAGCCGAAAAGGGGAAGAAAATGGATCCTCCCATCAGAGTTTCCCAAAGGAACCGGCCCTGCTGACACTTGGACTTGGCCCAGCAAACAGATTTTGGGCTTCTAATCTCCAGAACTTTAAGAGAATAAATCTGTGTTATTTTAAGCCATGAAGTCTGTGGTAATTTGTTACAGCAGCAGTAGGAAACTAATATAGATGTGTACTGTCAAGATTGTTCAACACTGTATTAGGGATGCTAGCTACTGCAATAAGGCAAGTTAAATAAGATGATAAGAATTAGAAAGGAAAAAATATGTTACTATGTAGACAACATAATTGAGTATACAGAAAACCCAAATAAAGATAAACTCTTAGAATTAATAAGTGAATTTAACAACTTGTAGAACAGAATGTCAATACACAGAAATTGATTGCATTTCCATATATTAGTATATTGGTTGGAATCTGTGGAGGACTCAGAAACCACAGCAATCATTTGAACGGGGAAATTTAATATAAAGAATTATTAACTAGTTAAAGGTGATTAATTTCTAAAATGGCTAAAAGAGAACTCTAAAGGATACAGGAATAGAAATTATAGGGAGCAGCTATTATCTCTAAGGCTAAGAAAGTGTACCCAAGGAAGGAACAAACTTAGAAGAGCCCCCTACTCCCTCCAGGGCTAAGATTCAGATCTTATTGGACAGAGAGTGACTGTGGCTCACTAGATGGGGTGGAAGTTCGCTCAGGTGTCTCATATCAAAGATGATCTATAGCTGGTGGGCCAGGACTGAAGAGGATGGAGCCACCCACTGGGGTGCCAGCAAAACCCTCTTTGGGCTGTGTACCACTGAGTCTCCCACACAGTCCTGGCAAGCAAGCCATTCACTCTGGTGTTGGTAAAATTGACTAGATAGTGGGTGCCAATGCATTTCCCACACACCTCTGGCAACCATGCTGTGCTATAAAAGCAAGAAGGAAAGCATACCAGAGGTATTTCTTCTGCCAAGTCTTAGAGCATCCTTCCTGTGCCCTCTATTGACATTATACCAGGTGCCAAAAGAGAAATATTTACAGGGTTCGGTTCCAGTATCACAAAACAGGGCAAAGAAGGGTAGGTAGATTTGGAGCTGAGGAGGAATAAACTGATAAGAGATAGAGCTAAGAATTAACTTTTAGATAATGAAAATCTTAAAAGATACCATTCACAGCAGATAAGCAAGGACTGAGGAACGAGCGTAATGACTGATGTATGAGATTTCTAAAATATTATTAAAAGAAATTAAAAAGGACTGGAATAAGTGGGTAGATATTATTGTGTTTAAGGGCTGAAATTGTCAAGATATAAATTCTTTTCAAATTGAACTATAGGTTCAATGCACCAAAAGGGCATGTACAGAAATGTTCTTAGCAACGCTGTTTGTGATAGCCTCAAACTGGGGATAACCCTAAGGCCCACCAACAGTTGAATGGATATGTAAATTGTGTGTATTCACACCATGGAATGCCATACACCAATGACAATAAAGATGTTAAAACTGAATAGAAAATATGGCTGACTCTCATGGACTTAGTGTTGAGCAAAAGGAGTCAGACTCCCCCTGAATTATATACTTCGTGATTCCATTTACATATGGATCAAAAAAGACAAGAGGTTAATTATAGTGATAGAAATCAAGATGGCAGCTCTCCTTAGGAAAAGTGGGTGGTGGTAGTAATTGTGAGAGGCCACAAGGGGGCCTTTTGAATATTGACAATGTTCTTTTTTTTTTTTTTTATAACTTTGAGTTTTTGTTTAGGTTCCAATTAGTTAACATACAGTATAATATTAGTTTCAGGTGTACAATATGGTGATTCAGTACTTTCACATGTCACCCGGGGCTCTTCACCTGTTTAACCCCATCCTCCCACCCACTTCCCCCTGGTAACCATCAGTGTGTTCTCTATAGTTAAACAATCTGAGGGTTTTGAAGGGGTCGGGGGGCGGTGGGAGGTTGGGGGAACCAGGTGGTGGGTATTGGGGGGGTTGGGAGGTTGGGGGAACCAGGTGGTGGGTATTGGGGGGGTGGGAGGTTGGGGGAACCAGGTGGTGGGTTTTGGGGAGGGCACGGATTGCATGGAGCACTGGGTGTGGTGCAAAACCAATGAATACTGTTACGCTGGAAAGAAATTTAAAAAAAGAAAAAAGGAGTCTATTTCTTGGTTTGCTTCTCTCTTTTTTTCCCTGTGCTCATTTGTTTTGTTTCTTAAATTTCACATGAGTGAAATCATATGGTATTTGGCAATGTTCTATTTCTTGTCCTTGGTGGTGGCTACATAGGAACTCCCTCTGTGACAATTCACTGAGCTCTGAATTTGTTTCGTGAACTTGTCTGTATGTGTTGAACTTTAATTTTTAAAAAAGAATATGGCCAACAAACACATGAAAAGATGCTTATCGTCACTCATCGTCAGGGAAATGCAGATCAAAACCACAGTGAGCTATTACCTCACACTTTCAGAATGGCTAAAACCAACAACACGAGAAACAACAGGTGTTGGCGAGGATGTGGAGAAACAGGAACCTCCGTGCACTATTGGTGGGAATGCAAAATGGTGCAGCCACTGTGGAAAACAGTATGGAGGTTCCTCAAAAATTTAAAAATAGAACTACCTTTTAATCCGGCAATCACACTACAGGGTGTTTACCCAAAGAATACAAGAGCACTAATTCAAAGGGATACACACGTCCCTATGTTTATAGCAGCATTATCTACAACAGCGAAGATACAGAAGCAATGCAAGTGTCCATCAGCGGATGAATGGATAGAGAGTCGTGGTATATAGACATACAATGGAATATTCCTCAGCCATAAAAAGAAAATCCTGCCATTTGCAATGACGTGGATGGAGCTAGAGAGAATTAAGCTTAGTGAAATAAGTCAGAGAAAGACAAATACCATCTGATTTCACTCATCTGTGGATTTTAAGAAATGAAACAAGCTAAGGGATAAAATGAGAGAGAGAGAGAGAGAGAGGCAGACCAAGAAACAGACTCTTCACTCTGGAGAACACACTTCTGGCTACCAGAGGGGAGGCGGTGGGGGAATGGGTGAGACAGGTGATGGGGATGAAGGGGGGCACTGGTCGTGATGAGCACAGGGTGTTGCATGGAAGTGGGGAATTTCTATATTATGCACCAGAGTTGCGGTGCCTGTTGGGACAGATCACAGAGGGGAACGGGAGGAACCCAGGCTTCAAAACCCCGGGCTGTTCACTGGTTCCGCCAAGTAGGTTGCATTTCTTTACTAAATTATCAACCAATGATATGGGTTTTGTTGTTGTTAGGAAAACTTTCTATGGGCCAGTGGGCCTTCTCCATGGAGAACACTTTGGGGCTGAACTTACCATGGAGATCCCTGAGTCCACATCTGGTAACCACAGACAAAAATGGAAATATTAACTACATGTCCACCTTCCAGGATATCCACATTCAGAAACCTGTGAAAGAGGCAAGTGAAACGTAGCCGCAGCTAAAGCCTGTCTGGAGCGATGGGGCACCTGGGTGGCTCAGTCAAGTTAGGCATCAGACTCTTGCTTTTGGCTCAGGTCATGATCTCATGGATTGTGGGATCGAGCCCCAAGTCAGGCTCTGAGCTCAGAGTGGAGTCTGCTTGGGATTCTCTCTCTCCCTTTGCCCTCCCCACCCCTCACACATGTGCTCACTCTCTTAAAAAAAAAAAAAAAAAAGCGAAAACCAGACAAATAAAACCTGGCTTGAGCAAAACACCCTTCAGACGACCTATAAGAGGAACTCAGTCCTCTGAAACATTGGGGATGGGGTGCCCGCATGGCTCAGTTGGTTAAGCGTCTACCTTTGGCTCGGGTCATAATCCCAGCGTCCTGGGATCAAGCCTCGCATCGGGCTCCCTGCTCAGTGGGGAGTCTGCTTCTCCTCCTGCCCCTCACCCTGCTCTCGTGCTCTCTCTCTGACAAATGAATAAATAAAATCTTTTTAAAAAAAAAGGAAAAAGAAAAGTTGGGGAGTGAGAATCATCTAATGGATGGGTGTGGCAGTCTTGGGAATAGGCCTAAGGTCGCTCTCCCAGGTACACTGTGATCTGTTTGTGAAATTTGTGCCTTCTAAGGATAGGCAAGATGGAAAAAGAAGGAAAAGCTTCTGCAAGCAAATCCATGTCAAATATGTGATTCTTCTCTGACATCCATTCTTTCATTCAACTCCCCCTTAAAATATTCAGCAGAACCCCTGTTAAACTGTAAGGGTATGGACTAGCTGACATGACATTTTATGCCTTAAAGACTTGTAAACTTTAGAATCTCTTATTAAAATGAGAATACCGCAGGAAGAATTACCAGATACCACCCCCCCATACTTACTAGTTAACAACCCTTTGGCAATTGGTTATAACACTGGGCTGAAAGGGAGCTGATGGGGACTGAGATTGGGGTGATTGTTTGCAGGGGAGATAGGAAAGTAAGAGCAGAGGGAAGAAAAGCAAAGTGCAAGTGGGAGAGTGAAACACCCACACGAAGAAGGCTTTAGGCTTTATCTAAGAGGCAGTAAACCGTGATGGCCAAACCCATAGGCCTTGGCTTCAGGCAGCTGAGAATCAGATCCCCTTTACCAACTATGTGAACCTTGAGAAACTGAACTTTACCTGTTTTCTAATCTGTAAAATGGGCATAATAATTCTGTTCCCTGGGCCTCTTGTTGAGGACAGAATGAAATGAAAACTCTCATGGAGGGTTTCCCATGGAAAACTCTCCGCACAGAGCCTGCACTCGGGTGTTCTCAGTAAATGTTGGCTGCTGTTCCTTGTTTCCTGAATGGCATGGGCTCTGTCCCCTGACACACGCAGGCTGCACTTGGTTCCGCATACAAGAGTATGGTCTTGTCTTTGATTAATGAGGGCTGGTCCTCCAAGGAAGGCCTGTCGTCTCGTTTCTATCTGAATCACATCCTTTGAACTGGTCATAATGTTTTGTGTTTGTTACATTTACTACAATTGACCTGTGTTATTAATTCTATGTGTTTTAACACTTAGAACATCTTTATTTTAGGCTCAGTCTACTCTAGTTGAAACTCTGTACAGATACCGCTCTGACCTGCAAATCATCTTCAATGTCATTGACTCTGATCACTCAGGTAAATGAGCGTCGATTAGTTCGATAGCAGAAGAAGACAAAGGCTAATCTGTTTCTTGGAAAGCAGAATTCTGTTTTCATCTGTTGCATTCTTTGCCCAAACTTGAATTAACTTGGGCTGGGGGGGTGAATAAACTTATGTTAAATATTATTATTATTATTTAGTTTGTCCAAAAACTGTATTTAAGACCTTACAGTCCCTATAGGCCTCTGTATCTATTAGACAAGAATAGCTCCTTTTATAAGTCACCAGCACAGATGAAAAGATAATTTCCTGGGCATTTAAACATAGTGGTTACTCCAGGCAATAAAAAAATCATCAGATACTCCCCAACTGCAGAGATCATTGAATACCAAAGGTCAATAATCAAAATATGAAAGTAAATCATTGCCTATAAAACATGGCAGAGCCATTGTTTACCATTATCTTATTGAGGGCCAGGGTATCTTCTCCCTCTGCTTTGATGTCCCTTTCCCTTATATAGAGCCCCACAGTCCACAGTCTACCTCCATCCCTTCAGTGTATACTAATTCCAGGTTTGGAATAATCTCAGGACCTTGAGTATAATCTGGACCTGGAATAATCTCAGATACTAGAAAATGACATATTGTGTCTTAAATTGACAGTCTGACTTTTTTTATTTCCTTCAGTGTCTCGATGGTTGGGGCATGTGAGTGAGCTTCTCATTAGGACTCTTCAATCAGTATAAGTCCCCCACCCCTCCATTAGGTGGGTCTTAAAACCAACCCTCACACCTTCTTCTTTATTCCTTTAGGCCTGATTTCCATGGAAGAATTTCGTGCCATGTGGAAACTCTTCAATAGTCACTACAGCATTCACATTGAGGATTTTCAAGTTGATGAGCTCGCTGAAAGAATGGACTTAAACAAAGATGGAAGCATTGACTTTAATGAGTTTCTAAAGGCTTTCTATGTAGTGCATAAGTTGGAGAAGTTGAACAAATCAGATGGCCACCCTCCTTAACAAGAACGAGGGCTTTCCCTCCTTGTAAACTCTTGGGCCCAAATCACTGGCACCATCTTTGCAGAACCCTTGTAATTCATAATCAGTAGTAGAGAAGAGTAGACCCCCCCCCATTCATGCCACAAGCAGATGTATAGTATGGGGTTTGAAGTCCCCACGAAGTGGTAATTGGTAAACTAGGTTAAATGTCAGGTGATAGGATTTGGCTCCAGTGTTAGGACTCATACATTGCCAGGTAGAAACTGGGTTTGAGCCTAGTGTTGGCCTCTTGGACCAGGAGACCAGAGCAGTTTGGAAACATGTTGAAAGGAACCCACAGAGCACCAGAAAAAAGTGCAACATGTGTGAGTGACTGAGGGATGGGAGGAGGCATACCAAACTATTAATGGAATAAAATATGTCCATCTTTAAACTGAATCTTCTTTGGAGACCATAAACTGGTGATTCTCAATCTTGGGGGAACCACCCTTGAGGGATGGGGCCCATATCGGACTCTTGGGGGAAGCTGTGGGAGTATATTGTTTGAAAAAGCCTATTTTTTTTTTCTTGTCCGTTGGAGACACAAAGTGAACACAATTCAGATTGAGCTCTACAGTTAATATCGTTTGCCGCCTTCACTGGGGAGATGGGGCTTTGGTTATGCACACACTGTGCAATTTATTCTACTATCCCGATTGCATATCAAGCATCTAGATTTCTCTCTAAAAGCGAGTATGCATTTCATTTTTTTCTAATTTTGAGAACCTTAAGATCTATCAATATGCCAGGTTAGATATCCACAACTACCTGGTACACACACCAGGAATAATGGATAAAATGTAACAAATATCTTTTTTAAATGCACAGCTGAGCTGGTAAGAAAGTAATAGCCCTAGTGGGCAAGAAAAAAAGAGCATAATTAAAACTGTAGCAGTACTAATGTTGGACAGGATATAGGCTTTGAGGCAAAAATATCATTAGGGATGAAAGGGGTCATTATTGAATGCTAAGAGGAATGATTCACCAGGATGATAAAAGAATTATAAACACATGCATCTAATAACAGCTTTAAAATTTATAATGTAAAAATTGACATAACTACTAGGAAAAATTGATAGAGGGAGATTTTTAATACACCTATGTCAGGAATTGACCATGTATATAACAGAACAGTGTATAGATTTTTGGACAACCCAATTAATCCACTGAATTGTGTGTGTGGGTGTGTGTGTGTACACTCTGGAATTAATTTTAGAGAATACACATTGTTTTCAAGCACACATGGAACATTTATAAAAATTGATCCTCTATTAGGCTTCAACACATATCTCAAATACCAAGCAACCAAAAACAAAGATACTGCATTCTCTGATCATAATGCAATTAAATTAGAAACAACATAAGATAGCCATATTAATGAGTGAAAAGGAATACAACTGTAGCTCTACCAGAAATTGCTAAAAATAGTTCACAAGAATATGGTGAGTAACCATTTTAAAAAATAGGTAAATAGACTGTTTCTTAGAGAAAAATGTAATTTACTAAATAAGGCTAACTCTAGAACAAAAGGAGGGTCGGAAGACACACAACCATTAAAGAATGTGACGGCTTTGCAATGTGTCAGTTTGGCTAGGCTGAACCGCATTTCTCGGAATGCCTGTTCTCCTATGTTTCTGGCTAAAAGGGGTGGCCAGGGAGACTCTTGAGTGATTGGGAAGGCCAAGGGAAGTAGCGGCCATAGTGTAGCTCGCACACACTGTTGCTGAGCTGCGGAGTCACTTTGTTGGTGTGAAGGGGCCCACAGTTGCTCTAAGTTCCCCTGGATCCTCCGTCAGCTTCTCTGATTCCCGGGCCAGGTGTGTGTGAGCTCCGTGATGAGACACCCTGGCCAGGTGTATGTTAGCTCCGTGATGACGGGCCGTGGCTTCCGTGGCACGGCCTCATCACCAACGCCAGAAACGGTAAGAAGGGACTCTGTCTGCGGTCCGTCCTTGTGCGGTGCCGGCTTGTGTGTGTGTGGGTTCGAGCCTGCGTTTCATCTTCCCCTCCTGACTACCTGCCCTGCCGACTTCGAGCTCCAACACCAGGTAAGGCGTCTTCCAGAACCTGTTTACCCAGCTCCCACTTTTGCCTAAGCCCCTTCTGCTGGTTTTATGTATCTATAAAACCCCGACTAATACAGAATTTTGTACTGAAAGTGGTTCCAAAAGAGCAATCTTTTTTTTTTTTTTTGAGAGAGAGGGAGCAAGAGTGCAAGGAGGGGGAATGGCAGGCAGAGGGAGAGCCGGCTCCCCACTGAGCAGGGAGCCTGATGTGGGGCTCGATCTCGGAACCCTGGGACCATGACCTGAGCTGAAGGCAGTCACTCAACCGACTGAGCCACCCAGGTGGCCCCCAAAGAACAGAATCTTGTTGAGTGCTCTGAATGTGTACTACCTGGTGTATACAGAGCTTCTGCCCCATTATCTCAAGTGAAAATCCACTGATAATCCCAGGATAGTGGTTTTCAGAAACGTCCAATCCCTGGTGGTCGAGAATGAGTCTTTTTGTTGCTTCCTGAATATCATTTGGTTATCTATTTTGGGGGTTCTTTCTGGAACTCTCATTTTCTTCCTTGGGCTTCTAATTTCTGAAATGAAATGCCTTTGTTGGAAATTTTACCTAAAAATGTAGTTAGGTTTTACTGAAGATTGTTACTGAATGTTGTAAAACTCCCGCTTGAAACATGAGTTATGTTCAGCCACATTTCAATTTGACAAAGTATTTATGTACAATATATAGAGAGTTGTGAAATCTCACTTTTAATTTATATTTATTACAAATGAGATGGAACATATTTTTGTTTGGCAGTCTGTTTTAAGAAAATGCTTGTTCTTTTCCTCTTTTTTTTTTCTTTTCCTCGTTTTTCTAACAGCTACTAGTCTTTTTCTTACTGATTTCTAGGAACTTTAAAACTCTCCTTGATACCAATCCTTTGCTTATCTGGGGAGCAGATTATCTTCTCCCAGTCTGTGACTTTATTTTTCACTTTCTTTCTGATATAGGTATATTCTTACAGTTTTATTTTAATTTCAGTTAACATACAGTGTTACTAGTTTGGGGTGAATAATATGGTGATTCGGGTTTTTTTCAGGTTTCCTTCTGACAGATTTTTACGCAGAAGGTTTTTTTGTTTGTTCATTTTTATTTCATAATTCTCAATTGCAGTCCAGCTAGACTTGGAGGGGAACAAGGAAAATATGGAACCCGTGGAGTCACAGCGAGAGCACAGAGATTGTAGGATATTTGGAGCAGCTGGGGGTGAAGGGTGCCCTCCTGAGCTACAGAAGGAACGGTCTGGTAGTTAAAATAAAACACAAGTCAAATTTAGGAGATTTGTCCACAGTCGGCCATGGTGAGCTTCTTGCTGGTCTTGCCATTCCTGGACCCAGAGTGTTTCATGGTGTCCACAATGTTCCTCCCCTCGCGCACCTTGCCAAAGACCACGTGCCCGCCCTCCGACCACTGCGGCTTTGGCAGTGCAGGTGAAAAACTGGGAACCGTTTGTGTTGGGTCCAGCATTTGCTGTGCACAAGATGCCAGAACCTGTGGGCCCCAGAAAGAAATTCTTACCAAATTTCTCCTCATAGATGGACTGGCTGCCAGTGTCACGGTGACATGTGACATCACCACCCTGGCACAGAAATTAGGGAATAATCCTGTGAAAGCAGGAAACTTTATAAGCAAATCCTTTCTCCCCAGTGCTCAGAGCACAGACGTTCTCTGCTGTCACTGGAACTTGGTCTGCCGAAAGCTCATAGGAGACACGGCCCGAGGGCTTGTGGTCCTCGGAGATCTGGAGGAACACGGAGGGGTTGACCGATGGCTTGGTGGCGCGGGAGGCTCCAGGGCGGCGTCTGCGAGCCCCAGGCAGAAGTTTTAAATGTCAGCTTACCCAGTTTGTCAGTCTTTTCGGTTATAATTTGTGCTTTTTGCCTCTTGTCTAAAAACAAATATTCTTTCCAACCCTGGAAATACAAAGATACAGTCGTTGCTTATTTTTTGCGGGCTCTGTATTTGCAAATTCCCCTACTCACTGAAATGTGTGACCCCAAATCCATATTTATGGTGGCCAGGTGCAAGGTAGTGAAATTTGGAGTCAAACGTGTACCAGTTGAGGGCAAACAAGGCAACGCTCTGCCTTCTGGTTTGGTTCTCCTACTGTGAATGAGCGTCCTTCACCTGGTGTTAATTTAGGGCCCCATTTTTTATATTTTTGTGCTTTGTGTTGATGATTTCAGTGTTTAAGATGATCCTCAGACACAGTGCTGAAGGGTTTTCTAGTGTTGTTCCTAAGAGCAAGAAGGCCCTGGGGTGCGGTGGGGTGGGGAGGGTTAGGATGGAGACAGGGGCCAGGGAAATGGTTGGGAGAAAACAGGAGTATTAAATAAGCTTCCGGGGGTGGGGGTTGAATGCTGCTGACCCCAGTTAATGAGTCAACTGTACCTATGAAGTGAGGTGTCCTTGAACAGAAACACACATAGAGGAGGTCTGTCATGGGTCACTTGACAAAAATCTTGTGACCAGAGGCTCTCAGGGACCAAACCCTGTATTCCCCGGGAGCAGAACTTGGGCAGTATTCACAAAGCCGTACATTTTAGGATTTCTGTGAAATCTATTGGATTTTGCTGGGAACTGCCTTAAATTTATAGATTAACCTGGAAAGAATTGACATTTTCACTGTATCGAGTCTCCCTATCTAAAAACATGGTGTATTTTTCCCAATTAGTTTAGTCTTCTCTAATGTCTTAATAATTTTTCATTATCATTACAATCTGTTCAAAAAGATTTATTCTAAGATACCCGATGGGCTTTCTCCTATTTTATTTGGTTCAATTCTTCTGGCTCTCTTGTTCGTAGGGTTTAGTTCTTTTAGGATTTGTTTTCTTCTTTTCTACTCTTCATTTTATATGTATGTATTTGATAATCTCTGGCTGTGTCTGTATTGAGCATTCCTGGGGGTATAATTCTATATGCAGACTCTGATCGGGTTGGATGGGTCCCTCATGGGCTCTGCCATTTTTTATTGTGAATCCCTCCCTAGCAGGGCTTTTGTTTTGTTTTGTTTTGTTTTTTTCCCTGGGTAAAATCCCATAATATCTGATTGTGGGCGCAACTCTCGAGAGAAGTTTTTTGTTTGCTTCTGCCTTGGGCCATGATAGTATCCCTGCTTGAGGAATAATTCTGTTACTTTTGAGTCTGGCATTTCTGAAGTATGTGGGTAGAGTAAAAGCAATGCGAATTGTGGTCCTGTGGTTTTGAATTCTCAGAAAGCTTTTCTTTTTTTCCCATCCAAAGCCCTGTGTCCTGTGGTCTCTCTTGTTTTTAAATCTTTTCATAAATCAAAGAGCCCTTTGAGGGTCTTGGCTTTATGCAAAGTACTCAGTTCCAATTCCCTA